ATATCCGTAAATGTTATATTAGAAAATTATTATTATTATTATGTTATTTTTTATTATCCGTGAATGTTAGCAACTGGACAAATTGAATGCAGCGGTCAAGGAAAAGCGACCAGAATTGGTCGATCGTAAAGGTGTCATTTTCCAGGAGGACAATGCTAGGCCGCACACGTCTTTGTCCACTCGGCAAAAATTGATGGATATTGGTTGGGAATTGATGTTACACCCACCGTATAGCCCTGATCTCGTGCCATCGGATTACCACTTGTTTCGATCCCTGGACAACTCCCTTCGTGGTAAAACTTTTAACGATGATGACGCTGTAAAATCTCACTTAACTCAGTTTTTGGCCGAAAAGGATCAGACTTTCTACGAGCGTGGAATTTTTAAGTTGTCGGAGAGACGGCAAAAGGTCATCGAACAAAATGGAAAATACATTACAGATTAAACTTCGTTCCAAGTAAAAAAAATTTGTTATTTCATCGAACAAATCGGCAATTACTTAGTTGCCAACCCAATAGAAGGCTGAACACTCGACTCACCATTCCGTGACAAAGGCTGACGGTAACGCAGGAGGAAGGATCACCGTCCACGACACCACTGTAAAAGCATCCAAGTTCATGGCCCGGATGTTCTCTCCTGCTCGTATTCGCGCTCATGTGAGTTATCTACACAAACAACGGGAAACAATTGCGGTGTAATCAATCCGAAAATACATTCTACGGTGAAGCTTCTATTTTCACTCGTGCACCGATTCGAGGAACCGCGATCGCTCGGAAATGGATAGTGTCAAGAGCTGGACTTGAAAACTGTTGTTACATCGAATTCGGTTCTTGACATGGTTCAGGAGGATACGAAGGTAACATCTGTTTCAGCTGCGGCGCCTATTTCGGTTTCCATATTGAACTCGAAATTATTTTACAATTTTACGCCGGTTCCAAAATGATCCCAGAATAAATGCGATCATAGTAATTTCTCTCGCGTTGTCCCTCAGCTTGGAAACAAAAATGGACAAATCGTATCTTCTCTTCCCAAGTTGTCCATTTTCGTTCTAAAGCTGAGGGACAATGCGAGAGAAATTGCTCTAATTACTGCATTTATAGTATATATTTGTTATTATTATTATTTATTTAGAATTATATATTTATTATTTATTATTATTATATTTTATATATTATTATATTTATTATTATATTATTATTATATATTTATTTATTTATTATTATTTATATTTATTGTATTATTGTATTGTTGTATAAAGGAATTATTACTATCTTTCGGACGCTCTTTAAAAAAGAATAATTTTTAAAAAATTTGACTAAAACAGGCGAGTTTTTTAAAAAGGTAGAAAAATTAATTTACGCTAAAAGATGTGAAAAAATTATTCTGAAAAAATTTTACTGCTTGTGTTGACATCATTTTATTGACATTTAGACATGTTTCCGCCTGACATTTGTTTCTATTACAAACAATCGATGAGATATTTAAGGTGCTCATATTAAACGAAACACCCTGTATAACACTTTCAAATAGTTATTTCACGAACCGTTCCAAAACGTGGTTCGAAATTAATACCAAAAATTAATATTAAAAAATCACAATTAATATTAGAAATCGTGCAAAAGAATGTTGTTAATTTCCGAGTTACACGAACAAAATTAGATTAGTATGCGTTCGCCGCAGATTTGAAGTAACGCGCGCGCGCGCGCGCGCGTGTGTATCTTCGTCTAACGTCGTATCTTGCGAAGAGAAAACGTGAAAGAATGCAGAAGTATTTAATAATAATTTCTTGCGGCGAATACCGCAAAATTTCTATTAAGCAAACATGTTTTGCCAGATCGCCGTGGAAAATCGCCGCGTTTAATGCTCGGCTATCGGATATTCATAGCGAAACATTTAAAACAATTTAAAAACCATCGTATTACACGCGCAGCCGCTTTTAACACCTCGACTATTACGGGCACCGATGCACGGAAGCGACATTATGCAAGTTTCAACGGCGTGCACGGGTGAACCATCAAAGATGATATCTTGTGTATTAGCATAGTAATAACGCGCTAGCATCGTATAACGTAATGGGATTAACATCGATGAAAGCGTCTCTGGTTAGATTAAATTATCGCTTCTGGAATGGAACTTTCAAACAAACTCAATCGCGATGTATTTTGTACGTTCGACGTCTGTGTATAAGATACTCTCTGCTCGAACATACATAGATATCGATTGCGAAACGATTCGGTCGATATTAAGTTGAATGTTATCATATAATTGTCAATAATTATAATATTATCACGTTAGTAAAAGGTTCGCTGTTCTTCGCTTTCGTGGGTTTTAATTTAATTTATTTTTAATATATTTGTGTTATATTATTATTGTTATATTATTACATTATTATATTATTATATTATTACATTATTATATTATTATATTAGTACATTATTATATTATTATATTATTATACTATTATATTATTATATTATTATACTATTATATTATTATACTATTATATTATTATACTATTATATTATTATACTATTATATTATTATACTATTATATTATTATACTATTATATTATTATACTATTATATTATTATACTATTATATTATTATACTATTATATTATTATACTATTATATTATTATACTATTATATTATTATACTATTATATTATTATACTATTATATTATTATACTATTATATTATTATACTATTATATTATTATACTATTATATTATTATACTATTATATTATTATACTATTATATTATTATACTATTATATTATTATACTATTATATTATTATACTATTATATTATTATACTATTATATTATTATACTATTATATTATTATACTATTATATTATTATACTATTATATTATTATACTATTATATTATTATACTATTATATTATTATACTATTATATTATTATACTATTATATTATTATACTATTATATTATTATACTATTATATTATTATACTATTATATTATTATACTATTATATTATTATACTATTATATTATTATACTATTATATTATTATACTATTATATTATTATACTATTATATTATTATACTATTATATTATTATACTATTATATTATTATACTATTATATTATTATACTATTATATTATTATACTATTATATTATTATACTATTATATTATTATACTATTATATTATTATACTATTATATTATTATACTATTATATTATTATACTATTATATTATTATACTATTATATTATTATACTATTATATTATTATACTATTATATTATTATACTATTATATTATTATACTATTATATTATTATACTATTATATTATTATACTATTATATTATTATACTATTATATTATTATACTATTATATTATTATACTATTATATTATTATACTATTATATTATTATACTATTATATTATTATACTATTATATTATTATACTATTATATTATTATACTATTATATTATTATACTATTATATTATTATACTATTATATTATTATACTATTATATTATTATACTATTATATTATTATACTATTATATTATTATACTATTATATTATTATACTATTATATTATTATACTATTATATTATTATACTATTATATTATTATACTATTATATTATTATACTATTATATTATTATACTATTATATTATTATACTATTATATTATTATACTATTATATTATTATACTATTATATTATTATACTATTATATTATTATACTATTATATTATTATACTATTATATTATTATACTATTATATTATTATACTATTATATTATTATACTATTATATTATTATACTATTATATTATTATACTATTATATTATTATACTATTATATTATTATACTATTATATTATTATACTATTATATTATTATACTATTATATTATTATACTATTATATTATTATACTATTATATTATTATACTATTATATTATTATACTATTATATTATTATACTATTATATTATTATACTATTATATTATTATACTATTATATTATTATACTATTATATTATTATACTATTATATTATTATACTATTATATTATTATACTATTATATTATTATACTATTATATTATTATACTATTATATTATTATACTATTATATTATTATACTATTATATTATTATATTATTATTATTTTTAATATTATTGTTTCCCACATGTGGGTGTCACTGCGGTCAAAGTATCGATAACGTAATTACAATACACTTTTTCAGCAGTGCAATTATGATATTTATTTATAATATAAACTTTATTAATAATATAAACAGAATAAATTTGATTAACAATGTAATTATGATACATTCTTTAAAAAGAAGATTTTTGACACGACAGTCACGTGTACGTGACTCCGGCCGTCAAAGTGTTGAGTTAATACCGAGTTAAGATGGGCTCTTACTTTAATATTCGGCGAGATGAAACTGGAGTCGTGTGCCAAACGCAAACGGAAACGTCTCCCAAATGCAGTGAACTCGTATTGGGGATGAGGATCCCAGACTTCCGCTGTAGCAAGCCGGAAGTGACCACTGTGGTGTCTCCTGGCAGTAGAATATGGATCAGCTGTGAACACATCAATCATTTTATTATTAGTAAGCATTAAATCTCTACGCTTGCAATAAATCATAATTAATTTATGAACGTTGGTTTTCAATCGCTGCGAAGACCAAGAGTTTAATCATCACTCATTTTTTATCTCGCTGATAAACTTAGTAACTGTGTTTGTAATTTCAATATATTTATTGCTATTGCGATTCAAATGTTTAATAAAATGTTATATATAATTAAACGTAACACTTGATAAAGATACCATTGAATTATTAAAACCAGGCTAACTATTGCATAGCGATTCAAAGACCATTTCATATAATTAAATATTAATTAATATAATCAAATTTCATATTAAATATAATAATAATAATAATAACTTTGTTACAATAGGAAAAAAATAATACTAATATCAGTCATAATTAAATATTAATTAATATAATCAAATTTCATATTAAATATAATAATAATAACTTTGTTACAATAGGAAAAAAATAATACTAATAGCAGTCATAATTATCATAAATGACAATATTATGAATTACAATTTTTAAATTCTTCCGTAGATATTTCGAAATAGTTAAACTGCTGGATTACGAAAAAGAAATGAATCGGTTCCTTTTATCAATGAAATATTTCCCCGCGTCTGACACATTATAATCCAGGCGAGCAACGACAACGTGAACGTCAAGCAACGACAGCTTTCATTATTCCAATTGATATCGTTCCGACAAACTGACGAAGATAAAAAACAGCGGAATCAGTTCCGATGATTTAATTTTATCACGAGCTTTATAACCATCAATCTTTCGCGCAGGTTTTACATGCAAATGTAGCACATTATACCTCCGGAGACTGACTCTGTATGACAGCCGGTCTTACTTCATACGTGCGCTTAACGCAAGAGATCCGTGCCACTTACTAACTAGTTCATTTGCCGCATGTAATTGTTGACGCTCGTGAGAAATTGGCAGGTGACAAACGACCGATGCGTGACAAAACAGCGGTGTCGGTGTTGTTTGCGTTAAACGCGGCGACGGCGGCGGCGGCGACGATTTCTCGGCAACGACGTTTACCGTTCGACCGATTCTTTTCCTTCGACCATGCTCGCCTATCTAGTTTCACATCTCACCGCAAACGTGTTCTACATATAGCGAGCACTACTGTTTCGGTAACTGTTTTTTCATTTTTCTATTCAGCATCCGAATCCTTGGATCGGATTCATTTCAGTCGAAGTCCATGTAACGCGAAAATTACAAAATAACGTTGAACATTGTGGCATTACAAAATCAGTGGGTATAATCTGCTCGGTTTGTTCTTATAAATATTAATAATATTGCAAATTTTCTCTCTATTGTAAAAAGTCTAAAGTTGTAAAGATGCATATGTTTGCAAATTTTATTAGTTCACTATTTTTATGTGATTCATTTCAGTCGAAATCCGTGTAACTTGCGAGTTACATGGATAATGTTGAACATTATGGCATTACAAGATCAGTGGATATAATCTACTAGGTTTGTTCTTATAAATATTAATAATATTGAAAATTTTCTCTCTATTGTAAAAAGTCTGATATTGTGAAGAAGCATACGTTTGCAAATTTTATTAATTCACTATTTCTATGTGATTCATTTCAGTCGAAATCCATGTAACTCGCAAGTTACATGGATAATGTTGAACATTGTAGCATTGCAAAATCATGACGTTGTTATCAGTGGATAGAATCTGCTAGGTTTGTTCTTATAAATATTAATAATGTTGCAAATTCTCCCTCTATTGTAAAAAGTCTAATATTGCAAAGAAGCATACGTTTGCAAATTTTATTAATTCACTATTTCTATGTGATTCATTTCAGTCGAAATCCATGTAACTCGCAAGTTACATGGATAATGTTGAACATTGTAGCATTGCAAAATCATGACGTTGTTATCAGTGGATAGAATCTGCTAGGTTTGATCTTATAAATATTAATAATGTTGCAAATTCTACCTCTATTGTAAAAAGTCTAATATTGCAAAGAAGCATACGTTTGCAAATTTTATTAATTCACTATTTCTATGTGATTTTCTTTTAAAAATATAGTTTCTCCATCGTGGAAAAAATTAATTTTACACAGTATTTCTGAAAGCTCGAAGAACCATGGATTGTTTGTTTGTTTAATACGACGTGCCTCCAGAGATTTAATGTGAAATATTTCGTACATAAAATGTGTTCCTTGAAAGTCGATTTATGCAGAAAGAGAACAAGCAGTTATAAACAATTAGATCTTTGAAAACAAATAACACGTCATCCGTTGCCTGCAGGAACTTGGTTTCATTTTGTTAAACAATTCTAGAAGGGAAGTCAGTGTTTTCTTCTGACATTGATATTTATTATACGAAACGTTTTAAATTGTTCCTGTATGAGAAATAACAAATATTATTTAACTCTTCGTAATAATTATTTTACGACCCATTTCTTCATGTTCGGTTTTTACGCATTTAATTGCTGCCACTAAAAAAAAAAAGTATAAAAGTTTCGACAAAAGCGTAACGATTTAAGTTTTTATTTTAGGGTAACTCGCCGGGTGTCCACCTAAATTACGTAGTGAGTCACAGCCGAAACCGTACAGCAGTTATAAAAATGAGTTCCACATGGTAGACAAACCTGAGAGATGATATGGAGCGAAATATATGAGTGCATATGTCAAATATTTTAAGAGGTGATTCGACAAGTCTATGTAAAGAACGATGATCGTATTGTAACCTCTTTGTTTCGAAGTTATTAAAACGGTTAAAGAGCGTTCTGATTCACCAACAGTGGATTCACCAACAAGTCAGGTCATGAAGAGCACAAACAATGACGTACCACGCGAAACACAAAGAGACACAAAGCTGGCTCGTTGACCAGCCTCGCTATTGGTCAACTTGAATCGTGAATAACTTGGTGACAAAGACGCTGTAAAGCCGTGTTGACAAGAGACGTTGACAAGACGTTGACAGTATTGTTACATTGGCTGCGATAAAAGCGTCCTACGAAATATTCGGCGCGTGCTATTGAACAGATCTGTGAATAGCTATTGAATAGTCTGTGCAATAATGCAAAAGTAGACGAATCCTTGTACAGTAATGTCTCTCTAATTGACGCTCAGATTACGCGCAAAAGTGGACAATTTGGGAAGAGGAGGTACGATTATTCGAGCCTTGAGTCGACAGTTGTTAATCTACTGTGGAAGAATTTAATATATTTGGCGAGATCGTAGAATCGTTTTAAATTCATATTTTAATGAGTACAATAATTTCTCCATAATTCGCGCACAGATTGCGCACAAAAATGGACAATTTGGGAAAAGGAGATACGATTATTCGAGCCTCGAGTTGACAGTTGTTGATCTACTTTGGAAAAATTTAATATATTTGGCGAGATCGTAGAATCGTTTTAAATTCATATTTTAACGAATACAGTAATGTCTCCATAATTCGCGCGCAGATTGCGCACAAAAGTGGACAATTTGGGAAGAGGAGATACGATTATTCGAGCCTCGAGTTGACAGTTGTTGATCTACTTTGGAAAAATTTAATATATTTGGCGAGATCGTAGAATCGTTTTAAATTCATATTTTAACGAGTACAATAATTTCTCCCTAATTCGCGCTGACATTACACACAAAAATGGACAATTTGGGAAGAAGAGGTACGATTATTGGAGCCTTGAGTCGACAGTTGTTAATCTACTTTGGAAGAATTTAATATATTTAGCGAGATCGTAGAATCGTTTTAAATTCATATTTTAACGAGTGCAATAATTTCTCCATAATTCGCGCGCAGATTGCGCACAAAAATGGACAATTTGGGAAGAGGAGATACGATTATTCGAGCCTTGAGTCGACAGTCGTTGTTAATCTACTTTGGAAGAATTTAATATATTTGGCGCAGAATTGCGGCTCATTTTTATAGTTGCCTATTGTCAACAATTATAAAAACGAGCTGCAAGGCTCGTATAATCGAGTCCCCTCTTTCCAAATTGCCCTCTTTTGGGCGCAATCTGAGCGCGAATTAGGGAGACATTACTGTATTCGTTGAAATATGAATTTAAAACGATTCTAGGATCTCGCCAAGTATATTAAATTTTTCAAAGCTTTCAAAATAGATGACACTAGTTTTATTCGACACTTTCGCAAACTTCATTTCTACTGCAATATATTCGAACAAACTGAATTTCACTGGGACTTTTAGTATACAAAAGATTTAAAATAAAGAAAAAACCATAACTCTCTAGATTCAGTTTCATTAATTAAATTACTTCGATTTTGTGGGAATTATTGGACTTCGTTTCTTCGTCAGTCACTTCTGGAATCAATTGCTCAGATATGAAAATTCATTTTTACCTAATTTTATTAGGATCGGCAAACCTGAAATGAGATTGAGAAAGTAATTTGTGTCGTACGACTTGACTTTTCAATTACAATTTGATCGATTAGATAACTCGAATCTCCCGAAATTCTGCTGAAAAGCTTCAGCTTTTGGCGTGGCATATCGAAACGTTTTACAGGACCGACATTCTGCGGTCTGCCAATTGCGACACTCCGGCCGATTAGTCGCGCGGAATAATACGCGCGAGTTTTACACAAAATTCCAATACCAAGAAGACATTTCGTATGCATCGGCCAACTTATAATCTCGCTCATCAATATTTTCGGTGTTAAATCACAGGATTAGCCTAGATCGTGTGTAGACGGAGTGTCCGTGGGCTCTGTGAATAGGAGCGGGCCTGGTGCCATTCCGCAACCGCGCGACAACGATTTACGCTTCTGAGAACCGAGATCCCGCGGATCGATGCGGGGCGATCGTGTCCTTTATAAATATCTGGTTCCGTCCGCGCGTTGTCTGCGCTTTATCGGCGACGAGGTCTCGTAGAACGTGCACTGGCCTCGCACAATCGAGAACTTAACGAGCTAAACTTGATAAAGCTGCCTTGGCACCACGCTGCACCGGCCAGGTTCGAACGCGCCGAAGTTCGCGCGCGTGTGTTCCATCATCGAAACGCATCGGCAGGACGCATCGCGGTCTAATTGCGCTAATTTGAATCGCCGCGGCGCGTTGCGTTCTTTCGCGCGCTTCGCGCCAGTAGCGAGAGGAACGAACGTCTCGCGATCAGAGATAATTGATCGGAGACTTAGCTCTCTGCGTTTGTTTTATGTCACCGATGAGCATCTGTCAGTTTCATTTGATCAGCTTCTTTCGGCATCGAGCAATTAGCATTTCTCTTGCAGAGTAGTTTGATGAATCTGGTCGCTCAGTTTTATTTTACTGGGTTGGTGCATGTGAAATGTCGGATTTTTATTGCGTGTAAATGTTTGTCGCGCTGCTCGCGTTACGTTGTTGTTTATGACATAACAACTTTTACAGTCTCATTGTGTATTTGCCAGCGTCATGTCTTGCCAGAAAGAATTTTATCAACAAATTTCCTTATTTATTTCGAATTTAGTCTGAATTCAAGAGTATTTGTATAATTTTTTATAAGCTCATTTATTCAATATAATATTTTATAAGTTTATTCATTCAACTTCTTTCAAAATGTCATTTATAGATTAAAAACTCCTTGATAGAAGTGTACGCAAAGCAAATGGATCATATTTTGATTGATTAAACATCTTTCGAATAAAGATATGAAATCTTTAATATTCATTTAAAAATCTGAGTGAAAATAGTCACCGTTTTCTTTTTTATTAATGACGTCGCGTTATCTTCGTATCAAATTGAACAATTCGAACGAAAGATAATTTCGGAGTTTTTATAATAATTTATAACAACTTGTTATAAAAATTTTTATAACGATTTTTATAACAAGTTTGTGCCCGTTAATGTCTGTTTCTGTCGCTTTACATACTCTAAAGCTTCAGTCCGTAAATCGTCGAGGTATTTCGCACGATCGTTCCTCCAAATAAACGTCGAACAACGTCAAACAACGTCAATCAAGATTATCCATCGAGACATCAACTTACGTGGATCCTCGTACTGATTCTCACTGATCTTCATGAGTCTCACATACTCCAGGTCAGCCTTCGGCGAAGACATCGTCTCGATACTCGATTTATTTTGCTGCTTCGAAGCACCTCCCTTTTCCGGGATCACTGTAACAGAAAATGTGTCGGAAACATTAGTACAACGAAATGAATTAACAGGCTTTGTCATTTTGGAGTGACGCAATCGACAATGCGTTGACATAGTTACTTACTAAAATCGTTCTAAACAGATTGTCCCAAAAATGTCTTGTAATCCGAAAGTGGGAGGTTCCTGAGGTCATTTGAAATAACTTTTTCCTTGGCGAAAATGCAATCCGCGGCTTCGTTTACGAGTTATTAACAAAAAACATGGATCAATTGTAGAGCGAGCGCGGCCAGCGCTCCGCCCTTTCAGCCAATGCCGCGTCGCGCTGGCCGTCTGACGCAGCGGCAGTGGTCGCGCGGGCGGGGCGTCAGCGGTATGCGATTTCTCATTGGTAACTGTTTTTCGTTGATAACTCGTAAACGAAGCCGCGGATCGCATTTTCGCTAAGGAAAAAGTTACTTCAAATGACCTTAGGAATCTCCCATTTCCGGATTGCGAGACATTTTTAGGACATCCTGTATATATAATTCATAAGAGATTGTGTTTTGAACGTCTTATTCTAATGCAATAGAGTTTCGTAAAGCATCTGGAACAGTGTGTGAAGAAAATGCACTTCTCGCACCTCAAATATCGAAATATACACAGAATTATGATTAAATTGTGGACTTTTATGCACACTCGCTTTTTCATACTACATCCTTCCAAAACTGAGAGCGAAGAGGATAGATTGGTTTCATTGACTAAGAAACTCTTTCCGGCGAAAATAAAATAACAATTTCACTAATTTTTGTATCGTAAGAATTGCATGCGTCACGCGTGTACAGAGATTGCCAATCGCACGTAACGCGTGATAGAAAACGTGTCAATTGTGACTGAGTTTTATCTTCGATTGTTTAATATTTCGTTTGACACGTCGTCGCGTGTGTTGTCGATCCAGGTTGAAAAATGTTTCTTAACTTTCACGATACGGTATCGAATAGATATTGTGCCGTTTATAAATTGAAAATCGCGTACGTATAACTTGAGCCACGCGATATTAAGTCGAAGAAGAGGATCCGTAGATTTAACAACACTAATATCAAGTCAAATTTTAAGAGAATCAGGAGATTTAATTATTCTGTAGGAACCAATCGATAAAAAGAAATATCAGACGTTGAAATTTTTAATTTTCTTTCTCGCTTACATTGAATCTTTCTATTTCCGGAGCTAAATTATAGTTCTTGTAATAGCATGAAATCGTTATTTCCCATGCAATTCTACACAAAGACAGTATTGACCACTTCGCACGGTCCGCGGATTTCTTGAACAGTGCTGAACAGTACAAAGTATATCGACCCTTCCTAATGGTTTGCAATGATTTCCATTGCGAAAGTATCCTCCAACACTTTAATTGCCAATTTCAAAGTGATTCTCGAATCAGTGCTCAAATCGAAATAATTGATTCAGTGCAATCAAAATAGTGTAATCATTCAGTGTAATCGAACTGTATGCTATTGGATATATTGTGATGTATAATGTATATATTATATTTATAATAATATTATTATATATAATTATTATTATATTTATTATTAATATTATTATTATTTAATATTTAATATTATTATTATAATATAATATAATAGTAATATATAAAATATAATAATATAATATAATAAATATATATATACATTATTATAAGTTCCTTAATTGCTGTTTACTGATTCCATTTCACAGAAACTATCGATCCAAAAATTCCGTTGATAGCATTTCTATGCTTTCCCGTATACTTTTATAAAAATACATAATTTATACACACAGAAATCCTTTCATTTCATGGCTTTGGTCTTAATGAGTCGAAAAAAAGGAGACATTAATTTTATGAACCGTGTACAGCTATAAATTCTTCCACGGAGTTTCGATTTTACGAAACCTACGTCGGTACGAATACTTCAATGGACTATTATTCTGTGCGAAGTATCCCAAATGCTCCCACTCTGATGATCGACAGAAGACTATCGGCGCTTTTAATACCAATACAGTGCGCATCGCGTTCGAGATAAGCCGCCGATGTATCGAGCGTCCTATACTTCGCGGACGATAGTGCGCTCGTTGTCTTATCGAGGCGGGCATGCGACATTAAAATACTATAATACAAATTTAAACGAGGATTTCGCACGATAACCTCGCGCTTCTTTCAATCTCGACGAATCGACAGTAGGTGGATCTGTCTCGCTAGCCGCCAATAAACGAGAGGCGGGAATAGAAAAAGAACGACGCGGCCGACGGGAACCCGTGCGAACGACGTCGGACGTCGTTGCGCAACGGAGCTGCTTAGAATCGATTAGCCGACCTTCCCAGTTGCACAAAAATCCAGAAATTCTTTCCCGATATCTCATCAGCCTTGACCAATAGCGAGCGTGCATCCTGATAATCGATTCGATGATTTAATTGCGTTTCACGCGTGTTTCCTCTAAAACAAAGAAACGTTCGGCCGTTCGCGCGTAATCGCAGTCGTTCGTTGCCGGGATCGGCAATCCTTTCAGATATTTAACGAGTATTTCTTTGTAGGTATTCTCGGTATTTCAGGTATTTCAGGAATTTTCGAATATTTCGGTGATTGCAAAAAAGTGGACAAATATTCGTTCCACATGCAACAGGATAAAATTGTATAAAAATGCTGATGAAATTCGTCAAATATCGTCTGTTATTTCACGTATATATGAGCCGTTTATTTTGAAAGTGGTATAAGTCACTTTACCGTAATGAAAAGTGGTGATTTTTTAATGTTTATTCGAAATCATTTATACTGTAAAAAATATCAGTATCCTGAGATAACAAATACAAGTAAATCTTCTCGAAAGTTAGCATCCATATTTTGAAACGTGTTAAAACGCGAACCCTTAAATATATCGACTTAAAAACAAAGTGGCTTATGCCACTGTCAAAATAAACGGCTCATACGTATATTGAACAGTTCACGTTTACGTTTACGCCTTTTGCAACGCAAAGCGTTTCATGAAAAAAATGGCACTTTCTTAAGATCCCAGGCTTCCGAGGTTCGTTTCGAGGCCAACGCCAGTGCAAACAGTGTTTGATTTCTCAAGTATGTATTCAATTTAGTTTGGTGATAGAGATTTCTCTGGCTCCCCATTCATCCGCGTGAAAGAAGCACGATAAACAATCAGGAGAGTCCGAGTGGTTTTCATTGAGCGAGCGTGATCAACCAATTGAATAGAATTTCATGTCAGCACTCGAAAGATTCGAGTGACTGTATAAACGAATTACTATAAATAAACATTCGAGGAGCGAGACAACACGTTCAATGCGCCGACTTTTATAACGCGAGACACTGACAAACCCGTGAGTTCATCGTTCTTGCGAAGCGCATTCGCGAAACAGCGACCATTTTGACGGTCAGCCTTTCGGTATCCATTTTGCGAAGGAACTGAGATCCATTCGAGAGGTATGAATCAACTATCGCTGCGTCAAATGCGTTTTGTTATACCGATTAAAAGCTCCCTGATCGTTCTTTATATTCGATTCTATTAGGTTGGCAACTAAGTAATTGCCGATTTCAGTTATAGATGTCTCTCACTCCCATTTTTATGATATCCGTAAATGTTATATCTGTCTCTTATACACATCTCAAATTTTTTTTTACTTGGAACGAAGTTTAATCTGTAATGTATCTGTCTCTTATACACATCTCAAATTTTTTTTTACTTGGAACGAAGTTTAATCTGTAATGTATCTGTCTCTTATACACATCTCAAATTTTTTTTTACTTGGAACGAAGTTTAATCTGTAATGTATCTGTCTCTTATACACATCTCAAATTTTTTTTTACTTGGAACGAAGTTTAATCTGTAATGTATCTGTCTCTTATACACATCTCAAATTTTTTTTTACTTGGAACGAAGTTTAATCTGTAATGTATCTGTCTCTTATACACATCTCAAATTTTTTTTTACTTGGAACGAAGTTTAATCTGTAATGTATCTGTCTCTTATACACATCTCAAATTTTTTTTTACTTGGAACGAAGTTTAATCTGTAATGTATCTGTCTCTTATACACATCTCAAATTTTTTTTTACTTGGAACGAAGTTTAATCTGTAATGTATCTGTCTCTTATACACATCTCAAATTTTTTTTTACTTGGAACGAAGTTTAATCTGTAATGTATCTGTCTCTTATACACATCTCAAATTTTTTTTTACTTGGAACGAAGTTTAATCTGTAATGTATCTGTCTCTTATACACATCTCAAATTTTTTTTTACTTGGAACGAAGTTTAATCTGTAATGTATCTGTCTCTTATACACATCTCAAATTTTTTTTTACTTGGAACGAAGTTTAATCTGTAATGTATCTGTCTCTTATACACATCTCAAATTTTTTTTTACTTGGAACGAAGTTTAATCTGTAATGTATCTGTCTCTTATACACATCTCAAATTTTTTTTTACTTGGAACGAAGTTTAATCTGTAATGTATCTGTCTCTTATACACATCTCAAATTTTTTTTTACTTGGAACGAAGTTTAATCTGTAATGTATCTGTCTCTTATACACATCTCAAATTTTTTTTTACTTGGAACGAAGTTTAATCTGTAATGTATCTGTCTCTTATACACATCTCAAATTTTTTTTTACTTGGAACGAAGTTTAATCTGTAATGTATCTGTCTCTTATACACATCTCAAATTTTTTTTTACTTGGAACGAAGTTTAATCTGTAATGTATCTGTCTCTTATACACATCTCAAATTTTTTTTTACTTGGAACGAAGTTTAATCTGTAATGTATCTGTCTCTTATACACATCTCAAATTTTTTTTTACTTGGAACGAAGTTTAATCTGTAATGTATCTGTCTCTTATACACATCTCAAATTTTTTTTTACTTGGAACGAAGTTTAATCTGTAATGTATCTGTCTCTTATACACATCTCAAATTTTTTTTTACTTGGAACGAAGTTTAATCTGTAATGTATCTGTCTCTTATACACATCTCAAATTTTTTTTTACTTGGAACGAAGTTTAA